AGTGTTACATCTCTACCCCTACCTTCCCACGCCTTTCTCTTTCTCTCTTTTTAAACAGAATCTCACTGAATAGCCCAGACTGGCCTCAAATTCACTATGAGGCCCACATTGGCCTCAAACTCACAGTCCTCCCTTAGCCTCCCGAGTGCTATGATTACAGGGGTGTACCACTACACCTGGCATCCCCTTTTTCTTGATGTGTGCATAGTGGCACTAGGCTGAGGCTTGTATGGGGCCCTTGTTCCTACAAGACAGATTTTTTTCCCTAGTGAGGGGATTGCAGGGACCAGGTGTAGTAGAGATAAATGGCATTTTTGTCTGGGGTTTGTTTATGTTACTGTAGCCATAGAAATGGGCAGTGTATTGCCATGCCTTTCATTGAGCCTAAGACAGAGGGAAGGAGGAGTGATATTCCTAGGCACCTCTGGGATACAAAAGGAATTCCTGTTCTAGATTTCACTAAGACTTTATAATGCGAGACTTGTGTTAGTAGGTGTGCTTTATAGCCAAGGATGATGTCAAATGCGGACTAATCCAAATGACTGGCTTCGAGAACCTTTTTGTATGAGTATAAACAAACATTTCACTTCAAACAAAAATACAAAACCTATATTTGACCTCTTTTAACTTAATCCCAGCAAGGCATTTGCTTAATAAGTTGGGTGCACATATAACAAATGTAAGACATCAGCTCAAGTGATAATGTCTCCTCAAAGCTTCTTATATGCAGGGTATATACAGCAGAGTGTACATGCAAAGAAAAGCCAACAAGTGTTGGTGTGGGCCAGTACTGCTTAAAATGGAAAGTTGGAGTGGTGTCTGAACTCTGTTGTGTTCTGCATTATGTCATCTTTAATTCTCAACATAACCTGTGAAGAAACTGAGGAGTGAAATAATTGACCAGAGTCATAATAGCTAGGAGAGTACACAGGGCTTTAACCTGTCTGTCTGCTGCCAAAAATCTTTATTTCCTATGCTGTTCCCAGTTCACTCTAGATTTTCCTTTTTTCCCTTAACAGTGAGAACAGCTGTAGTCTATTTTGGTTCCACCTAATTGGAACTTGGGCATCTGGTCAGTACAACAAGAGTGCTAAAAGCTGGAAGTGATGGAGCATGTCTGTAATCTCAGCTAATTGGGAGGCTGAGGCAGGAGAAACATAAGTTAGAGCCCAATCTGACCAATTTATCGAGACCCTGTCTTAAAGTAAAATAAACAAGGGTCAGGGATGGAGCTTAATGGCAGAATAGTTTCCTAACATGCACAAGACATTGGGTAGTGCCAAAAACAAAACAAGAATGGTGTTAACTGTGTGATTACTTTGTATAGTTTTAATAGTCTAATTTGAAAAGATAAATTTGTAGATAAGCATAGTAATGAAAAATTTAAGCTTTTGTTTTGCTTTGTTTTTGTAACTCAGACTTTTTTCCTTTAGAACATATTTGAAAAGGAAACTTAATTCATTAAACATTAAAAATGTGACATCACAGCTGTACTCCTAGTTATTTGGAAGCTGAAATCAGGAGGATCATGGTTTGAGGCCAGTCCAGGAAATAGTTTGTGAGACCCCAATCTCCAAAATAACCAGAGCAAAATGGTCTGGAGGTGTGGCTCAAGAGGCGAACTACCTGATTTGCAAGTGCAAAGATCTGAGTTCAAACTCTAGTTCCCCCCCACACACACAGACACAAATTGATGGCAACAATGCAGAAGATTGAAGATAATAAAAAAGTGGACCCCAATGTAGGAGAAATTTGTGATAGCAGAGACATCTGTATTTTGGTATTTGAAAAGTTAGAACCTATTTTATTGACTAGGAGATTAGTGAGAGGGTACAAACTTAACTAGAATTAAACATATGAATTGATGTTCTTAAAAAGTAGGTGGTGGTGGATTGCTTTACTTAAGTTGTCTTGCTTTGTAATTATAACTAATAGCAAAAATTTTTTTTAAAATTTAAAAATTTAAAAATTTTAAGAGATTTCATTTAGCCCGGTGTGGTGCTGCATGCCTGTAGTCCCAGTACTTGGGAGGATAGAGAATCCCTGCCCCAGAAGACTTCCATCACAAGAAGAAACAGCATATAGATTAACCACAGACTGAACAGATAACTAATTGCGTTACAGTCACTTTTACAGAGAGATGCTTTTAATGATTAGGGAAAAAGCTAGCAAGTTCATTACTACAAATTTTATGTTTTAAGATTGTGATAAACAACAGAGTTGGCAGATGGGAGAATGTGCAATTTGGGTAACTTTATGAGTTGTAAGTGTGGAGTATGCTTGTTAATGATTAACTGTTAAATTGGAAATGGTCCCTTATATTACTTTACCTGAAATGGCTATTTTGATGTTCTTGAAAGTCAAAACAATCTCTTAATACCAATTCAGTTGTGTCCATAGCATAGAGGAATAATCAAGTGAGAGCAAGAATAGTATCTCCATGTTTGTTCTATCCTGTAATGAACTGACAGTGTGAAATAGGTAGTTCTTCCTGTTAATGTGCTAAGTTTTCCTCGCTCCTCCTCAGTAGTTTGATTTTTTTTTCTTCAAGAGATACTTCCTTTAAAAAGCAGATACAATCAGTAAAAAAAATTTCTTACCTGTGTCATAATTCTATGTAGCAAGAATCATGTTTTAAAAGAATACCACGAGTTTTCACCCTCAGCTGTGTAGTACCCTATTTACTGGTTCAGAGTACCACACCTGATGCCAAGTACTTTCAACTTGCTTAATACTGGTTTGCTAGTGATAGATATAAAATGACCTTGAAACACAGGATCCTTAATTGTGGTTTCTCATTGAAAGACAAGTTTAGAAAGGCATCTGGTCTCCTCCTTTATTGAAGTTTGTATAGTATTGACTTGTCATTGCTCGAATATATTGGAAATGAAAAATGGCAGTGATCATCACTTATTTTACTGTTAAAATATGAATTGAAATATGAAAATTTTGATGTCTTTGTTTATGATGAATACTAAATTTAAGCTAAGTTATAAGGTATGCTGTTTGGAAATATGGAAGATACAAGAATGAAGCCAGATAACAAGTTTATGCTTGTATTTTCTACTGATGAAGACTTTCAGACAAGTTATTTCCATGGGTAGGTGATGTCACTCTGCATGTATATAAATATATCTATCTATCTATCTGTATATATATATATATATATACACACACACTTAAACTTATTTGCATGATTATACATGTAGGAGTGGTACAATTTTGACTTGACTGTTGACCTATTTCTCAATTTGGGGGTGGAGGTGGGGAATGTGAGGGCAAGGAGCTCTGAATAGTATTAGTGATAAAAAAAATTTTAGAATAAATTTCTAACTGATTTATTGCAAACACTTAAAAAAAAAAACCCACAAAGCTCTTTTAATATTAGAACATATGGTCAAATAGTCAATATTGTACTTGGCCCTCATATCTTCTGCACCCAGTATTTGGACATCACACAATATCTTGATTCCATAATAACCATTTTGAACTCTGATGAAAACTCCATAGAATGATGAAGCTTTCTTTTCTTTTTTAGAAAAGAGAAACCTCAAAAATGAGCCACCTTTTTGCCATTTAAAATAAAATCCATTACCAAGGTCACATTGTTACATATTTTTGTCTTTGATGGACTTGATTTGCCCTTTTAGGGGAACTGGAAATTATTTTTGAGTAGTCAACTAAAATCCTGATTGTCAGAATTTCATATTGTGACATGTTTGTTCATAACAATGGCACTTAACAGCTCACTCGCATTTCTGTTTGGTCATTTTTCATTTTTGAAATGTTGCTACATAAACCTATCAGTCTGGGAGCTTAGTTTTAGGAATAAATACCCCAGGTGTGTTCCAGGTATTCAGTGACAGTATAAACAATGAATGTATGTATTAAAACAATAGTCATTCATTGTGTTACATTTCTTGATCCATTGACATGTATTTCTTCACAGTCAAGAGTTTCATAAAATAGGTGTGTTTAATATTCATTTGTTAGATATTAAATCTTTGGAAATAAATGGTTTGCCTGCACTTCATAAATAGCTGTTGGGATGGAAACAGCATTCTTTTTAGCTTAATTCTAACATTGGGATAGTAGAGGAATTTCCTGAATGAAAAGTTTGCTTTTGCTATTGTGTTAGGAAAAGAGAAGCAATACCATTATAAAGTATGTATCTATTCTATAAACATGAATATTGAGTTACTTTAGCATGAATTGCTGCAGTGTAATTATTTTGGAACTTAGCTTATCTTATTCAGCCAAGTTAGGGTGATTTGAGGTGCGAAAGAGAAAAATCTCTTAATTTTCTAGTAAGAACTTTAATATCTTCCTCTAAAATTACTTAAGGATTGCATATCATTTATTTGGAGTGTGAGCTGGTTGTCTTTCTTTGGGAAAATATAAGTGTCCCTCACAAGACATCCAAAACAAAATCCTAAAAATGGATTTTGTGATATTGTAGAATGTTGTAAAGTGTCATACCTGTTATTGTAAAAGGGCTTTACTAGAAACAAGGTAAATCTTTAGTATCTAGGAAAATATATTTTTTGATTTTTCTTCTCTGAATCTACTAAGGACTTTTAGTATTAGCTACTAAAAGAACTAGATTTATTTTCTTAAAAATAATAAATTAGGTTTTAACAGTTTACTTGAATTTTTTTCCTTTAAAAAGTTAGTTTCACTTTGTGGAGTCCTTTTTTCTTATGTGTTGCTCTTTAGGACTATGGCAGGAATTCAGCGTAACATTGTTCAGCATAGTCTTGTCTTCTGTTCTTCATAATAACATTCCTTTTCCTCCTTCTAAAACATGTCCCTCATCTTTGTAAGCTCAGGTTATCTTTTCCACTTTCACATCATGTACAAACACTAGATGTATAAAGTGCAGCTTTTCTAATCAGATAGAATAAAAAAGTGAAGGCAGCTGGCATTTAGAGGGCACTAGTTTCAGAAGTATTTTTCACCCCACAAGTTAGATACAAGTATACATTTTCTTTCCTCCCTAGATGGACCTCCAGTTGTAGCTCATTATGATATGTCTGACACCAGCTCTGACCCAGAAGTGGTAAATGTGGACAATTTATTGGCGGCTGCAGTAGTTCAAGAGCACATTAATTCTGTAGGCGGCCAGGAGACAAGAGCTACCTGGAGGACCAGCGGGCTTCTAGAGGAGCTGAATGCGGAGGCAGGTTGGTCTCCCCCATCCCCTTCTCTAATAGTGTAATGTGCATGTGTCCTGGCAGCTGTTTCTTCTGGTAGTAGACCCTGCTGAGGAAAGCAGTCCACACATGCCTGAACCATTTGACATTGAACGATAGTGACTATCCAGGCTGCCATTTATACCTGAAAATATTTGGGTGGCATGTCATTCCTCTTTCCTAATCAGAAAGAAGCAAAAGTAAGAATATGGAAGACATAAATTGTAGGTATCAGTAGGTTTCAGTAGGCTTATTTCTTGGGTTAAAAATTCCCAGCATGTGAAGAAAAGCAGCCCAGATACCCTCATATTCTTTGGATAGTTTTTCCCTTTCAGCTCTGGAAGGAACCTTGCAGCTTGGATGGGGAGCTGAAAATCTCCCAGTGGGGCTGTTATCTACAGTGCTGCCACTTTTTTATGCAGCTCCCTGGGAAGTATCTGTCAATTCCTCCTCAAGAAATTCCCTTTTGCCTTTTTAACCCTTTCACTTTCTGCCTCAGTTATCTTAGGAAAAGAATCTTTGTCTTGAATTATTTATCTTGGTTCTGTGATTATTTTTTAGGGTGATAGTTATTCACTAAAAAACCTTTGAAAACATCTCATAATGCCTCCAAGTTTCCTGCAATATCTTCCTCAGATACTCTTGTTAATTTAAACCTTTTAAAAAAGAGGTACTAGTACTTAAGTTTAAGTAAGAGGGGAAGGAATGAGAAAGCACACTGCTTACATAGTGTTTATTTTCTTTAGTGCTTTTAAGAATTATATATACTGGTTTATGTGCTAATTAATTTTAACACTACCTAAAATATTATCTTTATGGAAAATGAGTTTTATATTACATAGAAAGAATTACAGTTGAGAACTTTCTGTATTACCAAAAATGCCACTGGTTGTCCTGAATTCTTTCTTTTATAATCTTTGATTAGAACTAAAGAAAAATCACCAGTTGATCTTCTAACTACTTTATTATGGCTAATTTGGGAATTGGATTTAGTTTTTGTTTTGTTTCATTTGTTAACTGCTTGTTTGATCTTAGGTCAGTAGTTTTCTCTGGACTTTGGTTTTTAAATGTATGAATATGGTTTGCCCAAGAGGGGTCTTTTAAGGATTTATTAATACTCTGCATAAGTAGTAATACTTATTAATAAATAATTCTTTATATCAAAGGACACATTTTGTAAACTACATGTTTCTAAGTTATGTAATTTGTTATGTAAATTAGATGGTTTATCTTTGGTTTCTATCCATTGCAAATTAAGTGGTCCATTCCACTTCAGTTCCCCTCCCCACCCCTTCAAGTTCTCCTAGTTTTGTCATTGCTAAATTCTTGGGAAAAGTACAAACGATTCCCAACATGTTGCTCTTCATATAGGGAATTCTTAGTAGTAGATTGGACCTTAGAGAATAATTAATATTTGACCTTTCAATCTACATCACACCCAGTATTTTTTTTTTGATGATACTGGGATTTAAACTTAGGGCCTCATACTTGCTAGGCAGGCGCTCTACCACTTGAGTCATTCTGTCAACAGTTTTCTGTGTTGGGAACTTTCTAGATAGGGTCTTGTGAACTGTTTCCCCAGGCTGGCCTTGAACAGCGATACTTCTGATCTCAGCCCCTCAGTTGCTAGACATACAGGTATGATGAGCCACTGGCACCCAGTTCTTTTTTTTTTTTTTTTTTTAATTAGTGCATAATAGAATCTGATGATAGTTCCATAAATGCATATAATATACTTTGATATTTACCCCCCATTACTGTTTCTTAGTCCCCTCCTCCACCCTCCCCTTTAAATCTTTCTTACAATTTTTAAAACTGGTTTCATTATGACCTTTTCACACATGCATATAATGTACCTTGATCATATTTCCCCACACACACCTCTTTTTTTCCCTTTTTCTTTAGATCTTGGTTCCAAATATGAGTGAAAACGTAGTGTTTTTCTGTCTGAGTCTGGTTGATTTCACTTAATATGAATTCCATTTCCACCCATTTTCCTGCAAATGACATCATTCTTTTTGACTGAATAATACTCCATAGCATATAAATAAGTTTTTTAATCCATTCATCTCTTGATGGGCACCTAGGCTGATTTCGTAACTTGGTGCTATGATAAATGTGGGTATGCAGGCATCTCTTATTATATGCTGACTTGCATATATATACCTTCAGGTGTATGCACAAGAGTTGTGTAGCGGGATCATATGGCAGCTCTATTTTTTGATGAACCTCCATACCAATTTCCATTGTGGCTGCACTAATTTACATTCCCACCAATAGTAGGGGGCTTTTCCCTATGCTCTTGCCAGCATTAAACCTAGTAGTTTCGTTAGATTCAAGTAAATAGTATAATGTTTGAGATCTTAAAGTACCATTAAAGTTTCCAGTCTCAGAGATGACACTCACATTTTCATATTCAAATACAGTCGTCCCTTAGTATCCATAGGGAATCGGCTCCAGAACGCCCATGGATATCAAAATTCCAGCAAGCTGAAGTCTCTTTATACAAAGTGGTGTAGTATTTGCATGTAACCTACAAACATCTTCTGTATACTTTGGATCATCTCTGGGTTATGTGTAATACTTAATATATCATGAATGCTTTGTACATAGTTGTTATATTATTTAGGAAATGATGCCCAAAACAGTTTTTTTGTGTTGAGTATAGACACAGTTTCTTCCCCAATATTTTCCATTTATAGTTGGTTACATCTATGGATGTGGAACCCATAGATATGGAGTGATCACTGTAATTGTTAGCTTGTTTATTTAAAACATCACACCTGGGTTCTTGCCACCATATTTTTTTTTAGGAATGTGAGGAGGGAAGTACCAGTGACTTTAGCTCTATGCCTCCCTTTCCCTCCTCACCCTAAAGATAACCTAAATTTTGTATTCAGTGTTCGTTTTTTCTATGTATATCTTTATGCATTTTGACTTCATTTGTTATGTATCTGGAAATAATCATGGTTTTAAAACTAATTGTTACCATATTGCAGGGGGTCATTGCAGTTTCTTTGTTTAGTGTATTTTGTGAGCTTTGTGCTTATTTAATGTGAGCCTAGTTTGAGTTTTTTTTTTTTTTTAAACTGCTATTCAGCATTCCACAATTTATTCATTCTCTTAGCATTTAGGGTACTATATTAAATGATGCTGTTATTGACATTTCTTGTGTATGCCTCTTGGTATATGTGTGTCTTCATTTCTCTAGGATATAATATATAGAACACTTTGGCATATTGAGCCATAATATTAGCATATAGGATATAATCACCACTGCTCAATAGACCCCCAAGACATTTTCTTATGAAGCCATTTATATACTTTCTTTTTTTTTTTTTTTAATATACTTTCTTAAAGTCATTTTCCCCTCAGTCTGATAATGCAGGTATGTGAATAATAAGTAAAATAGTATTATTATTCATAGTGGGAATCCATTTTGTGAATCTGAATATACTTACAGTGTCACAACAAAATGTTAATAGAATTTATGCTTGATTGCATAACTTGAGACTTGTTCTTGAGGCTTGAATGTAAGATAAGTGCTCTCGTGGTCAATTTGAATCTTCCCTGTCCCCCTCACAACTAAACAAACACCTCGTTACTGAACAGACTATCTAGGGGTTCACTTTAATCATGGCAGCATCTCAGTGATGGGGTTGTAGCTCAGTGGTAGAGTGCTTGCCTAGCATATGTGAGGCCGTGAGTTTGATTCCTAGCACCCCAAAAGAACAAAAACCAGCATCTCTGGCCAAGTCTTTAGCTCCACTCTGTGTAAGATCATGGTGATGGAGATAATGCATTAGAGATGGAGTAGCTTGCCTCTTTTTCAAAGCAATTGGATGATATTCTTGTATCAAAAATATTTTATCTTATAGTTTTTCGTACCTCATCCCACTGACAGTACTGGAGTTTGAATTTGGGGCTTTGTACTCAAAAGGCAGGTGTTCCACCACTTGAACCAAGTCTCCAGTTCAGTAGTTTTAGTTTTAACATAGTCTAAAGAGTAACAAGCAAGTTTTAAAAATTAAGTTGAGCTGGATACCTGGTGGCTCACATCTATAATCGTAGCTACTCAGGAGGCAGAGATCTGGAGGATCACGATTCATAACCAGCCCCTGGCAAAACAGTTTCCAAAACCCCATCTCAAAAGTACCCAACACACAAAAGGACTGGCAGAGTGGTTCAAGCAATAAAGCATCTGCCTAGCAAGTGTGAGGCCCTGAGTTCAAACCCCAGTACTGCAAAAACATGAAGTTAAAATCAAGGAAGCCCCTGGTTAGCAAAAGACCTCAAATTTCCATTTTAGAATTTGTCATGTCTTTACTTTTTCTTACTTGGTGCCAGAATTATACAGTGTAGGGTGATTGTGAATCAGCAGCCACTTGGAAGCCTCAGCATTCCCTATATTGCAAAACTGGGATAAAACATAGTATCTACTCCAAAAGGTTATTGTTACCATTAGGCAAAAAACACATGCCATGTGCCTATGCCCTATGTACAGGGCATACATAGCACACAGGAAGCCCTCAGTAATCAACATTATACACTGAACTAGACTTAGAAAGTGGTTAATGGATCTGTCAGTGAATTTCTAGTGTACTGTTCTGTTCTGGAGTAAGATGCTCTTTTTTTTTTTTTTTTTTTTTTTTTTTTGCCTGTGTTGGGGTTTGAACTCAGGGCTTCATGGTTGCTAAGTAGATTCTACCACTTAAACCATCCCTCCAGCCCCATGAGTTGTTCTTTCTGTAGTATTTTATCAACTTTGCTTGAGTATAGAAATTACCCATGGTGCATAAAAAATTCAACTCCTCGGTTCCTCCTTGAAGGTTCTATTAGATCTGGAATGGTGTCTGGGAATATCTTTTTATATTGATTGATTGAGTGATGGGACTGGAGTTTGAACTCAGGGCTTTCTGCTTGCAAGCCAGGTGCTCTGCTGCTTGGGCCACACCTCTAGTCCATTTTGCTGTAGTCATTTTGGAGATGGG